GACGCCATTTTGGCACGCTGTATGAGCAGCCCGCAACCACCTGGAGAAAATAGGGTCGCACGGTCAATCGCGTTGAAAAAATAATAGGGTCGGCAGAAAAAAATAGGGTCGGTCGGGAACCGGAACCACAGGTATTTTTTTTTACGCCCTGGCTATCACAAGCTTTACATTTCTACCACATTATCCTACCACATTGCTGGTTTTGTCAAGTTTTCTACCGCATTACTCTATAGCATTGGAGCATTTACAAAGCAGTCTCCCGCAGGAGATCGTCCGCTAAAATGCCCTACTTTCCAGTCTGGGACTGGTACTTTTAATGGTGCGATTAATTAACAATTGCTCACCAAAGTGGAAGTGAATAGTCCAAGGATATTCACAGAAATGCAAAGTTTTTAGTTTCAGAAATTTTCAGTTCCAATACAGTAGGTCCTTTAACAGGTAAAAAGTATGTAAAATGTTGTAAATTTTAGGATAAGGAGTGATCATAATGAAGATGAGACAGCAAGTATACTTCATGATTGGGTTGATAAAGTCCGTCCTCTGTACCATGGTATTGACATCAACACGACAAACATCGATGACAAATACGAGGATGCGATATCAGCCAATCATTGGTCCCTTCTGAGATTCAAACGTTTGATTGATTTAAGACAAGCTGCTTTGGACGAAGCTCGGAGACTTTGGGCTGACTATATATTTGTAAGTTGTGTTTGCCTTAATTGTGGAAACTCGATTCTCTCAATTTATCCCGGCTGGATAGCTCTATCACTAGGTCTAAACTGCTCTCTCCATTAAAGGTATAGACTGTATAGTTACTGTAGGACATCTGTTATTGCCGAAGTGTTGCTAAATCTCCACCCCCTCCCCAAAAAAGTTCAATACCCTAATGCGCACTATTTTGTTGTTTTACTCTGCCAAACACCAGACGATTTTACTCGTTTAATGACACATAATTTTACTTGTGAAGGAGAGAGTGCTGGTGTTCAATGGGTTAAAGCATTGTTTTTCTTACAGTTTTTAGATTGTGATGTTTATATAACTCATCCAAACACAATATGGTCACTGCTAGAAGAAAGAAAGTGAGCAAAATGATTTATCTTTTTATTCATTTTTTGGCATTAGAATGTATTAATAGTATTACTCACTTCAGTCTGTAAAATAGGTTAAAGTATTCTAACAGTTATTCTATTTTAGAGCTATTATATCTCCACTGGTGCATTCATTTGTGAAGAAATCAGCATTTTCTAATTACTGGTGTGGCAGAGATGAGAAGGTACTAGCTACCGTAGGAAACAATTTTAGGAAAGGAAGGAAGGAGGGAACAGCCCCCCCCCCCTGGGCGGGCGGTTGCTATGGCCCTGGTACTTGCTGTACACGTTATGCTACTGTAGAATAGAGGAAATACTGTAGGTCATTGTGTAGCCGATAGATAAGCCTTCTTACTATAGACACAAGATGTACTAACCAGATGTCAAATACCACATTATGGTTTTCGTCAAGCAGCCTTTCCTTTGCTGGCATTGATTTTGCGGATGTGATAAATGATGCTGTCATAAAGGAAAAGTCAATTTATGTGAAGAAATTTGAGACTATTTTACTCTGTCTAATGCCAGATGATTTTACTCTGTCTAACGCCAGATAATTTTACTCATCAGGGGAGAGTGTTTCCACTCAATGGGTTAATCAGACTATCTGCCCATGCACCCTGTCAGGGCGTTAGCCAGAAGTAGAAAAAAATCCGCATTTACCTGAAATTGGGAAATTTATTTTAAAATTTTTTCTCGGAAA